ACTCGCAACAGTATGCAACTATTTGCCGGTATTTCGCCAGACGGTGCCAAAAAAATGTGACCATTCCGAAGGAGGGGAAATTTGGAGCACAAATCCAGTGTCTGTGAGAGATTGATTGGGTCAATTTAGAAATTCCTGTACTGGATTGGCAGCGTCATCGTCTTCTATAGAATGGTCAGCCAAAGAAGCGGAATTGATTTTTTAACACAGCAATTTCCTACCATTCTGCTATATTTTGATGAAACAAAACCCAACACACACACACACACACACACACACACACACACACACACACACACACACACACACACGAACACACAGACACACACAAACACACAGACACAAACACATTTATTTATATATAGAGGGAAAGACAGATTAATAAAGAATATACGAAATAATAATTAAAAATAAATGAACACATTTTAAAAATGTTCGTGTAATCGTGTAATCTAGGAAGTTGTGGAGAGCCATGATCAATCTACTTAACGAGCTTGAGTAAGTGGATTGCAGAACAGAGACTTGGAGGTATAGTAAGGAAATAAATATTGCTCAGATCTATAAAGATTGGAAGTTGTGGAGAGCCATGATCAATCTATTTAACGAGCTTGTGTAAGTAGATGCCAGAACAGGGAGTGGGAGAGATAATACGGAGACAAATATTGCTTAGAGTTGAAGTTGTGGAGAGTCATGATCAATCCGGTTCACATCCTCCCCGGTCTTTTGAACAGGTTTATCTGTTGTTTCCTGTTTAGGATTGAATTCCTTCTAAAGTCTTTTCATCCCCTTTCAATCCCAGTAGCCCCTTGCGTCTTAGTGGCATTATCGCCTTGATCGGGGTGAATTGATTTTAAAAAAATAATAGACTAGGTTTGTTTATTACACTTGCTTTTTTTTTTTTTTTTTTTTTTGAGAGGAGTGTTTAAAAAACATTCATAAATAGAAGTTGCTAACACGTATTCTTTAAACAATGAAAATATATATATATATAATGAAGCCAGACGGTCATAAAAAATGACTTGAATAAAATTTGATGCGCAAAACTTTGTATATGTGAGGCTCAAATTATTGTTGTAAAAATAACGTCCAAATGAAGTCTGGCAGCTTATGAAAAATACATGTATAAAATTTGTAAAAAAAAAAAGTTTCATGTCTGATTGTCTCAAAATCTGTCTAAATACAGATTTCAAACAGGCGTGGTTTAAAGAGATACATTTGTGATTTTTTTTAATTAATGGGGTAAGTAAATTATAATCTCCTAGTAACAAATTTCTGATGTAAATAGGAGCCGATTTGTGGCTATTTAAGACGTCTGGCTGGTTTGACAGGAGAAGGGACTTGGCTTTTACATGTGAAAGACGGCAGCTACTGGGAGGTATAAGGGAGTTGGCTTTCACGGGGGAAAGTTAATGGCAGCTGCTGGATGGCAGAAAGCAGAAAGAATTTGGCTTTCAATTTGGTGAATGATGGTGGTTCTGGGATCTGAACACAAGAAAAAATAAAAAGCAGCCGACATCAAGAACGGTGAAACAGTAGTAACGAAGGATGGGAAGAAAAAAGACAGAAAACTGAAAAAAAAGTTAAAGAAAGTATATTAGCCCTGGTTTCGAACTTTTTATGAATATACGAGATTCTTGTTGTTTCTAAAACTGAAGTGTTGTCTAAACAAACTAAAACCTAGCGACGCCTGTGAATTATACCATCCTTATCAACTTCTTTCGACAGCTGTATGGGGATTTTATAAGCGTAGCTTAGACGTGACACAAGGCCGAAAGTGTGAAGCACCCTGTGAGAATCAAGCACTACCAAGCTTAGTTGTGGCACAAAGCTGAAATTAAGGTCCACCCAGTGGGGATCGTAGTCACTACTCTAGCAGGATGGTGACTTACGAAGCGTAGATGTGTGGTACAAGGCCGTAAATATGAGGCTCAAACTCACTATTCAGTCACAATTGATTAAGAGATACAAGCTTACTAACCATTACCGCGCATTAATAGAGATAGTTTAGTTGTGACATAAGGAGCACCCATTGAGGATCGAACTCACTACCCAGTCGTAATTGATTTAGCGAGAACAAGCTTGCTAACCATTACACCACGTCGGAGCGCCCCCTTCGACAGTCGAATGAATCGAATATTTTGTTTAGGAATTATAATTGTTTTCATGGGTCAAATAGAATTGCAATTATATCTTTGTTATCTTGCCTAATTGTTTGGCGCATAAAGGAAATTTTGTGTAGGTTTTTCTTTTTTCTTTTTTTGTACATTTTGGATTCTGTGTTATTATTTTTGTCATTTAAGGAATGCAAATTTCTTTCATATTTTGTACCAGAGTCTTGTTTTTTTTTTTTTTTTTGTTTTTTGTTTTTTTTTTTTTTTTTTTTTTTTTTCGTTTGCGTCATTCATAACACTGGAGATAAGAGATTTGATGTTCTATTTTCTACCCACCCTCCATTCCTTTTACAGTTAACTTGTTCTCTCTCTCTCTCTCTCTCTCTCTCTCTCACACACACACACACACACACACACACACACACACACACACACTTTCTCTTTCCCCTCATACACTCTCTCTTTATCTATTACATTCTTTCTTTCTCTCTCTCAATCTTTCTCTCTCTTCATTGCTTTCTTTTCTTTCAGGATTTCCCCTTTCTATTTTTCTCTCTTCTTTTTCTCGATCCAGGCGCAACGGCTTCGGGTAATGGTTAACGAGTCTAGTCTATTTAATTGTTAGTATTGAGTTCGATCCTCACTGAGTGCCCACACAAAATTCGACATTAAGTGACTCCAACAAGGGTGGTGACTTAAAAAACCAACCAACTTAACTGTATCTCTCTTTCTCACACTCTCTCACCCTTTCTCCTTCCCACTTTCTCTCATTCTTTTTTCTCCTTCCTTTACTTATTTTCTCATTCTCTCTCTCTTCTCACTCCCTCCTTCTCTCTCTTTCTGTTTCTCCCCCTCATCTTCCAACTATTCACAGATTCATACATTTGAAGCAAACGACGCCCTTCTCCCGAATTATCGATATTTGTATCGTCGTTCGGTCCGAGATCAATGTGTAGTATGTGTTCTCCTTATTTTACAAGATAGAAGACACTTGGTCCCAGGGATTCCAAATCTGCGTCAGCACCTCCCTCGTTGCAATTGAGGTAGAGTCGGGGTAATATCAATGTCAGTGTGACTGGTTGCGAGGACTGGACTGCTTGTGTTTTTGGTCCCTATGTAAGCGTATGGGCGCCTCACATAAAAAGAACTTCTGCCATATATGGACAGGGGCTACAAAGTATTCCCTTTCCAATCTCGATAAATACCTAAAAGCGTCACCGCGGCCTTGTGGGTAATTAATTATTTTCCATTATACAACCTCTTTCCTACAGACGAAATGTCACAAGCCTCTCGCTGCTCTCTTGCATAGAAAGTGTTCAAACAAACTAAATTCCTTAATTCCACCAATTCTAACCTTGACGGCTAAAACCCACCCTGCCACACCCATTGAAGCGAGCCACCATCATTCCCTTCGTATCCCATTGGTGATACGCAATGTCCACTCGAGCAGCTTCTTCCTACAAACTGCTGCTTTGTGGAACCAACTCCCAAGAGTATGCTTCCCGGATCACTACAATCTTAACCTGTTCAAAGCTAGAATTAACAGTTATCCTCCCCACCTATCCACATAAACTGTGTTTCTTACTCTGTAGCCCTCTACCTGCTTTGTCAAATCAACTCCCAAAAGGATGCTTCCACGGTCACCACAATCTTAACATTTTCATGTCTGGGGTTAACCGTTATATTCCCCACATATCCCCATAAACTCCGCCTATTACCTTTTAATCTGTAAGCCTCTATCTCGAGTGGCTCTTGGGCTTTGTACAGAGTGGAAATTACTGTAAAACAAAGATACCTTCTTCGTGATGAGTTCAAGTAAATAAAAGCAATATTGGTCGAGAAAATTTAGATTAACTTTTCTTTACGATTCCAAAAAATAAAAAATATAAAAACCGCCTCTTTTAGGGGTCACCAAAATGGAAACATTTTCTTCTGCAATGAAAGTAAAAAAAATCGACACCCAATGTTTTAAAATACTTGCTAAAAATCAGGGAAATATCGGAATTAAAATAAAATTTTCAGCTCTAATTCTCTAATGAATGAACATTATATTTTTTTAATTTTTTACTTTTACGTTTTATTTTTATTTTTTCCCGCTCTTTTTCGGACTGGGGTATAATTACAGTCTTTCTACCTGTGTCCTTTGACCTCAGAGGCTATTTTATGTAAAAGGCAAACATTACTTTTAGAAAATCCAGTTAACTAATCCTTACTTTTAATAACAGACTTCGATACACACCTCGAGGAAAAATATTGGATTTTAAAGAGAATTTTAAATTTGTTGTTTACATTTTTCGCATACAATGGCGGCGCGATAAATCGATGAGTGACGTCAATGTGTCAATGTTTTAAAAATATCGCAAAAGTTTATTTATATACGGAAATTCATTTTTCTTTTCATACGGATTAGCTTTTTAGGATTAACTAACTTATTGAATTTCAAAAAAGACATTTAAAATATTTAATGTGTTTTTCTGGGTATTATGCAGCGGAACCTACTTTTCATTCTGTCCTGAAAAGAGAAATAAACTATTTTGGGGATTCTTTTCGTTTTCTTATCTTTTCTTCTTTCCTTCATTCACACTTTCTTCTCAATGAAAAGTGCAGTCATAAAAAAAAGAAATAGTTGTCGTAATGAAGTACGACTCGGCCAACTGGAGGCACAAACTGCCTCCTTTCGTCGAGATAACCTCGTTCTGTCTTCTTCTTCTTCTTCTTCTTCTTCTTCTTTATTCCCTCTTATTTTCATACATAACTTGACATTAATGGAAATTTACTACCAATTCAATTTAAAAAAAAAACATCCACTCTTTCATCGTAAAACTAGAGTTTATACTCAGTATATACAGAGTAGAGACAAGAAAGAGAGTATTTTCTTCTGGCGCTATCATGCAACTCTATCAATCTATCCAAGTTCATATCTATCTATCTATCCCTGTTTATATTTATGACAATTCATATCTATCTATCTATCTATCTATCTATCTATCTATCTTTTCCAATAATCCCAGTATGCATCTGTATTTGGGGAGGGGATGTATTTGCAATCGTTTTGGAAATATCAAAATTTCCGTTAATCTTGATTTTTCTGCTCTCAGCAGAGGAACTAAACAATAATATTTGAAATTTTAACGTTTTTTTTTTGTTTTGTTTTTTTTTTGTTTTGTTTTTTTGGCGTTGAAAGACAAATTGATCTGGAAATTCTTGCAAAAATTAAATTGCTTTTAATTTGTCGTATTTTAATGAAACTTTCAGGACTAATTTACAAATGAATGAATTTTTTAAAAAATGTTTCTCGTTTACAAAATTTTGGTAAAAGCCTTCTTTTTTTTTTTTTACATATTACCCAGCACTTATTTAATTTTTTGAAATTTCCAGAAATTCATTATTGTGCCTCATAATGTTTAGGCAGGACTTCTTTGAGAATTTAAACATTTTTTTTTTTTTTTTGAACTGGACTCCCATTTACCGAAAATTTGTTCTGAAACGTAAAATTAAAATGCCCATAAAACTAAGAGATGATTTAATTAGAAAAGCTTTTAAATTGCTTTTATGAATAATATATATTATAAACACTAAATGTCTTAACAAAAAAAAATTATTTTCGGTGAATGAATTTTTACAATTGTTTTCAATTTTTTAAAATTTTATTTGGAATAATTTATAAAGTTTTAGATATTTTAAAATTCTGTATGAATTTGCATCAATCAGATGATATTGTTATTAAGTAAAAACTATATTTATTAATCATAAATGGAAAAGCTTACTACAATTCAGGGACCGCCAGTATTTTAAAAAGAATTTTGAATTATTTTATTGTGGGTGTGTCTATGTGCGTAAACGTGACGATTTTTTAAATACAGACGTCCATACACGACATTATCAGAAAATAATTGCGGTAATTATAGTAAATTTAAAGTTAACGTATCTAAAATTCAATAAAACATTACATTAATTACGGAGAATATTTTTCTAATTTTTTAAGATTACTGGGTAGTTAAAAATTCTCTAAAAAAGGCGCTCACGTCATATTCCACAAATTTTTATACGCCTCCGTAGAAAAAATTGGATAAACTTCTGGCCGTCAATCTGTCAACACGTAATCAAAACACCTACCTTTGTGTTAAAAATCTATTTCTGTGATATTTTAAACTAAAATTAAATAATATTTACTTCAAATCAGATTAATTAAAATTTAAATCAGCTAATATTCCTCAAATAAAGTTTCAGAAACGTATATTTTCATTTAGAAATTGTTTTTAATAAAGAGAATCACATTGTGCTGAGAGATGGCTAAAAATCGCGCTAAAATCAGCGGTTTTTAGTAATTTTTAAAAAACAAAACTTCTCCGAGTTAATTAAATTAATTTTTGAAATAGAGCGATGTATTTTAGCTGTTGTAAATATTAAATTTAAATAATTAGCTTGAAATTAAAACTAAAATACATTCTTCAACAAAGACTTTTCATTTTTTTAAATTATTTTAAACTATAGGTATCGCGTTTCTTTCGAGGGACCTATATATATATATTGTTATTATTTTTATCATTACCGACATGTATTTATGTTTGTGTGTATCAGTATGTATATGTGTTTATGTATGGATGTGTGTATGTGTATATACGTGTATATTTATGTGTATATGCATATATATGCGTGTGTATGTGTGTGCATTTATGTGTGCATATATATATTTATATATATATTTGCCTTTGCATTTTTAAGATTTTAGTTATTTAAAATGGTCCTTTACTCATCTCTTTATTAATTTAATCAAACTTTTATTTTTTATTTTTTAAAGAATTTCATTTTTTAAATTGATGTTATTTCTTTATATTGATGTCAAATATTTTAATGATATTATTATTATCATCATCATTATTAGTAGTAGTAGTAGTAGTAGTAGTTTGTAATTGTGACGGTTATAATGCGATGATGATGTTTCCGCTGCTTAAAATGACTGGACAATTTCTATGTATCTATTTTGAGTATAATCACTCCCTTCCACCACCCTATTTCTTAACTTGTCAGGTCCCGGAAAAATATTTTCTGGGTCACCCTGTCGACTGGCTTAACACCTTTCTTTCCCTCTCTCACTCACTTTTCCCTCCCCATGTCTATCTCTCTTTTTCTTCCCTCTAAAAAAACCTTATATTGAAATCTCCGTCTTTCTCCACCTTTCTTTCTCTCCCCCACCCCTTTAATATTAAAACTTTTTCCTCCTTCTCTCTCTCCCTTTTTTCCTTTTTATTTTCCTCGTGTCTGAATAAATAGAATTTTTTTGTAAAACTGGTCTGAAGAGATAGACATTTGAGTCCACGGAATAAATTATCACCTGACCGAATGGATTTTTTATGATTCTGTATTCATTATATATATATATATATATATATATATATATATATATATATATATATTATTATTATTATTATTATTATTATTATTATTATCCTAACTCTCAGCACTAATACTGTCCCCACCGCTGGTTCTATAAGCTTTTTTCCTCTATGTTCAAAATCTCAATTACCTTCCACCCGCCTCCAATCACAATTTTTAAATCTAAGGTTATTTTCACAAAAAGTTTCGCACAGCGAGAAATCAAACAAGGAACGGATTTTTTACTAACATTTCCATCCACAGGAAGGACTCCACCCAGCCTCAAGAACTAATGTTGCATAGTCTCCACCGGTACTCTTTCGTTTGACTTTCATTTATTGACCAGCTTATCTACTCTATTATATATATATATATATATATATATATATATATATATATATATATATATATACTTTAAAAATTGGGCGATCAATTGATTCTGATACTTTCATTTCATCCTTACGGTATCCTCAGGCGTTTTTTATCAATTGACCTTCCAACGATGCATTATTTAAAAAAGCATAAACTATGACCGCTATATTATTTCTAAAATATATATAAACAAAACACACGGCGTTGAGTGTGATAGAAAGGGAGGAAGGGGATGCGAAAAGGAAAACAGAAGAATATATATATATATATATATATATATATATATATATATATATATATATAGTAAATGAAAAAATTATATGCGGAAATTTAAATATCTGGGAAGTGTTTTAACAGAGGACGGAAAGTGTGGCACTGAAATCTGAAGGCGTATTGGGATAGCCAAAGATGTATTCAAAATAGCTAAGCAGAATATTTAGAAATAAAAAAAATCTTCACTAGAAACAAGGAAAAGAGTACTCAACTGTTACATGATATGTTACATGACAATGGGTACTTGAAGGATACTGAGGGTACCATGGACCTTACATGGGAACAAAATGTTAGAGATAATAGAAACAAAAAGGAAACTCATACTTAACATGGGGAAGAAACAGTTGAAATTTCTAGGGCACATAATGAGGAAGGAGGGCTTGGAAAATTTAATACTCACAGGACAGATTGAGGGCAAGAGGGACAGACGAAGACAATGCCAAACCTACCTAGCGAGATTGAATAAATGGATGGTGGTACAAGGTTTAGGAGAGGTAACAAAAAGACAGCATTTATTAAGAGCTACAAAAGACAGGAAATAGTGGAGAGCCATGATTGCCAACATCCTGAAGGAACACGACACATAGAAGAAGAATAATGCGCGTTAGTAGATGGATGTCGGAACAGGGTTTAGTTAACAAAATGACAACATTTATTAAGAGCGACAACGGACAGGAAATTGTGGAGAGCTATGATCGCCTACATCTCTCTTTCTCTTTTCCCTATTTAACTCTTACTTTTTCTATCTTTCCATATATATATATATATATATATATATATATTATTTCAGTCCGTTGTTCATACTTAGGCAGCTATCTCAATCTGTTCATATCTATCTACTTATCTATCTGTGCCTGTTCATATCTATCTCAGTCTATTCACATCTATATATCTATCTATATATGTATCTATCTCAGTCTGTTCACATTTATCTATCTCAGTCTTTCTATATCTATCTATCTATGCCTGTCCATATCTATCTATCTATCTATCTATCTATCTATCTATCTCAGTCTGTTCTTATCTATCTATCTGTTTATCTATCAGTATGTTCATATCTATCTATCTATCTATCTATCTATCTATCTATTCATATCTATCGCAGTCTATTCACATCTATATATCTATCTATATATGTATCTATCTCAGTCTATTCACATCTATCTCAGTCTTTCCGTATCTATCTATCTATCTATCTATCTATACATTCCGCCTAATTTAACATCTGCTATTCATGCATCATAATTTTGACTGCTTTTAACAATTCTTCTTCATTTCGTGCCTCCGCTTGAATCTTCCATCTTTCTTTTTCCCCCGCCATTGCTTCTATTATTAACCTTCTTCTGTGTCTGCAGTTGCCTTTCTTTCCCTTCTAACCAGTGTTTACCCAAAAGATTCCACCCCTCAAGTGTCAATCCTTCCCAACCAAACTGCATTTACCAAGGTATTTAGAAAAATATATCTACGATCTCTTTAACCTTTCTGGGAAACTTGATACCGACCATAAGATGAAATATGTTACAATTGGCAGCTTCATCTGAAACTCACACCGTTTCCACCTGTCGTTGTATTAAGCTTTTCTTTTTTTTATTTTCACATTCAAAGAGAACACAGTTGAGTAAACCGATACGCAACAATCATTTTGAAAATCAAATGCTATCATTTGGGAATTTTGAAAAATTACTTAAGTACAGGGATCTTTTCTGTTAATTCACACCAAATAATGTAAAGCTATAATTCATTTACCGCCGCCTACACACAATAGTGTAACCACATTTAATGTTCAGATCCTCGGGGTCTTAGAACGACGTTTTAACTACAGGGCTAAATCTGCGCTGGTCAAAACTGACGCTGGTCCAAGCTGACGGTTAGTCGCATGCCGCTTCGATCCACAATAACTGTATCCATGGTTCTTGATCTCAAATCAGTGAAGGATCGAATCGAAGCGCCGATTTGAGCCGAGGTAGTAGCTATATTTAAGGGAAGAATTATTTTCACAAAAGAAAATAAAACGAAAGAATCGTTGGGTCAATCTTCAACTGGTTTATGTAGTTCTTGATAAAACAAAATTTAACCCTTCCCGTATCAATCTCTATAGTGACACCGGGCCTCGTCTAAAATACTGAACGAGTTGGATTCAAAGTTCTTCAGAGTCAAGAGATTTGACGGCAGCTGACGTGGATTCCAGAGGCACTGATGCGGGAATTCCCGGCGCAAGTCCTCGAGCTTTCAAAGCTATCTGCTTATATGTACTTCGGCCCAAAACCGTGGGGCCGACGGATTCTAAGGATTCGGTGATTCTCCAACATTCGTATTAATTTCAACATTCCAATTTGTTCCTGACGTCTGTTTCCTTATTCAACTTTATAAATTTGGAGAAATATCCACATTCTTTTGGAGTAGTCACAGGGATCGCTCCTCTCCTCAACTCCAAATTTCTTCATTTTACATCTCGTACCATCACTCCATACAAGTGGTGCTAAATTCTTCATCTTCCTCTTTCCTGCACAGCATTCAACCTCAGCCTACTTCCCAGGGCAAGTATAAATTTCTTTGTGACAAATCTAATTTTTAAAGCGTGTGGGCGAAAGGGCGGAGTTTTATTCTAGTCATTAATTTTAATTTTCTGATTCCTTTCTATTTGTATGGAATTGTTTTTACCCAGCGAAAATATAAACCCGATCACTTCTCTTGCCGCGAAAATACAACCCAGCCCTACCCCTCTCCTCGTTAACGATATTTGTTTTCTTAAATTCTCAAGGAAGAGATAAAATTATTTCTCAGTTTCTTTTCACCTGCATGCCCGATTCTCCGTAGGGGCGAAGAAAGCTAGCTGCTCCTCTTTCCCCACTTCCATATCACTAGGGGAAAGTGTCTCCGCGCCTCTCTCTCTCTCTCTCTCTCTCTATATATATATATATATATATATATATATATATATATATATCTGTCTTCCAGTTTAGGCTTAATCCTTTCATGGCTCTCCCAGTTCATACCTAACATTAACTACTTTCTGGTCTCAGTATCACAAAGTTTCTTATCCCAAATGTTAATTCACTCCAAGAACATTTTTTTAGCTTGCCTCGCAACAACTCCAACCCTGAGAATAAAAGAATTACCAAAAATCACGGAGGTGTTCACATTTCTTCAGTACGGATGATATTCAAGGTATTTGCAATAAATTTTTTACAATTTAAAATTTTGCTTATTTATCGAGGTGAGCGCGAACGAAGACCCCGCACTTAGAAATAGAGCACACAAGTCACCCACATTTGGGGCGATCGCAAAAGTCAACCCAACTGGAGTGCAATGGATGGGGCTAGCTCTGGGAGAATTTTAGTAATTATAAATTCTTTTTATTTGGGGGTGAGTTAATAATTTGGGGTGAATTAACAGAAAAGATCCAAGTACATGGCTGGTGTAACGATCTCGTGCCCCACCCTACGAATCTATGATACGATCACCCCCCACCCACCCATCCACCATTCTGACACACTTGAGATCGAAATAAAATGTGACAAATGTTAACTATTTTTTATTGTTCTCACCTTGATTATAAGGTAAACGTTAAACCCCCGGGCAGGGTCAGTGCAAGGGTCCCGTGCTGCGCACCGAATCTATGATATGGGGACCTCCCCCACCACTATACAAATATAATTTTTATTGGAGCCTAATTACGCACAATAATAGATCATATTCAATACAGATGAAAGTAGAAAATTTGAAAATAAATCCAATCTATCTAAATACAAATTAGAGACCTGTCATAATAGATCATTCCATCTTAAATAAATCAACAATGTTTTGCGGCAATTTTTAACGTCAACTTTTTTTTTTTTTTTTACTAATGTTCACTCAATACAAGGCCCAAGAGCCACTCAAGGTAGAGGGTTACTGTGTGGTGTTGTATGAGCACAAGAAAAGGTGACGTTCCTGGGGCTATGCAGGAAAGACAATCGTCAACTCTAGACTTGAAGAGGTCAAGATTTAATTAGTGAATAATATTTCAGAGTTCAATCAGAAACGATAGAAGTATAGTGTGGAAGTAGATTTTAGAAGGAACAAGAAACACAATCGCTCGAAGACGGAGCCGCGAACGAGTCGAACTCTGTCCGAAGACAGAGACGCAACTGAGAGATGATAAAAACCTACCCGGCATATAGCAGGTAATTTTGGGCACCTCGGCGTGGTGTAATGGTTAGCAAGCTTGTCTCACTAGATCAGTTACAACTGAAAAGTGAGTTCGATCCTCACTAGATGCCCCATACTTTCGGCCTTGTGCCACATCTAAGCTACGCTTGGAAAATAACTATACCAGTTAAATTATATATATCGCATCTTTATATGTATATAAAAAAAAAAACACACGTAACATCTTACGTCACAACCCACTTCGTCGATGTCCAAGCACTCACCAGTTCTACCCACCAAAAGGGTTGATTTTTCACTTATTTCAAAAAATCGACATTGCACTTAATGTGAAACGTAGGATTTGATAGAATAAGCATTGACACCAAAAATTAGATTCTTAGCTTTTGCCAATTTTAGAGTATTTAGTTTTAAATATCGTCTGAAACAATGTATAGAAATACCTAACTACCGCAGATTTACAAACTGACTTCACAATGTTACTATTTCAAGAATAAATCCAAATAAAGTTGATATTTTTTGTATTAGATACATTGAATGGAAAATATATTCAAACCAGAATTTTAATTACGAATCACCACATGCAATTTTTTACTGTATTTGATAAATCAAAACTAAAAAAAATTGTAAAAGATTACAAAAAATGCTACTCAACAAATAAGAATTTTTTTCGATCATTTGTTAGATAATTATTAATAAAAACAAAAATTAGATAAAACTGTATATAATACAATAAAAATGCTAGGCACAACTTATAAGAAAAAATGTTTTTGCATTGTTTATTGAAAATCGTAGTAAAACTACTGCACTGTATAACATATTACACCATAAGATAGCTAAATTGTTCAGTATAATTTCCCTTTGAAGTAAATGAAGGTCTTATTTGATGGCACAATGATTTAGTAATAATCTCCTTGTGCCATGAACCTTGTCCAGATACAATTTGTAAAGCTTCAGTAAATTATAAATTTTATAAGGCTTATACTGGTCACCGGAATGAAATTCCAGCGCAAAGATTTTGAATCTAAACTTAAACTCTAAACTCGTCTCCTCAAAAAGAATGGTTACGGGTTGGGAAACAATATTTTATCTCGTTATTCATCATGTCAAACCCCAACTTTTAAATTGAATACAATACCCGACGGTACCAAAATCGACCTGCCCTACTCATCTACCCTGATGATGACTTCAGTAAGTTGAAAGTTTAGACCATATTTCGTGAATTTTTCTTCCGTAATGAACATCGTACAGTTTTGACGGAATTTCCTCTTTGTCTGGGAAAGATTATGCGTAACTTTGGAAATTCGATACTTGAAATTAATCGATATAAAACGTCTGTCGTTTTTAATAGTAGTTGCCTTAAAATACTTGCTACCTAAATACACAGAATGAATATAAATATATATATATATATATAGTAGAATAATATATATATATATATATATATATATATATATATATATGAATAGCCAGATATATATATATATATATATATATATATATATATATATATATATATATATATATATTCTGACTATTCATATATATGCGCGCGCGTGTGTGTGTGTGTATTTAAGCAATACTGTTGAAGTATGAAATTAATTCTCCGAGCCGGTGGCGTATTTCGTATATAGAAAAACGTTAAAATTCCTTCCTTTCTGACGTGCGACGATTGCCTAGAGGTAAGATATCTGACTATATATATATATATATATATATATATATATATATATATATATATATATATATATATATATATGTATGAATCAATCGGACATCTTGCCACACTGAGGATCTGTGATACAGCGAAACAGTCTGTCTGTGGATGACTATATATATATATATATATATATATATATATATATATATATAACTTGAATTTAGTGTATTAGGGCAGCAGATCATTATTTAAACATATATTATTAAATATAACAGACAATGAATGTCTATTATGTCCGATCATGTTTGCTTTAATTTCTGGTTAAAGACAAAAAAATTTAATGATTTAATAAAAATATGCAAATGTCTAATAAACATTAGAACGGCTTTTGATCAGATATAATAGACATTCATTGTCTGTTATATTTAATAATATATATATATATATATATATATATATATATATATATATATATATATATATATATATATATATATATATATATATATATATATATATATGAGGAAAGCTGGTGCGTGATGTAATGGATAGCGGCTCGGTTTGAGAAATCGGAGAGCCGAGTTCGAATTCAGTCGAATCCATTACATTCAATTACGTGCTAATATCCTTTGGAAATGTATGAATCCTCTTCTCCCCCCCATCTATAGGTAAATGGCTGGACAGATCAGGTTCTATAGCTTTGGATGGCAACTGGTCTACCGCAGAAAGAACTGGCAACGTAAAAAAATTCGCCTCGTCAGTCACGTATCGAAAGATACATGATCGCCTAAGCACATGACTGATTACGCATTCATATCTTTAAGTATGTTGAAATTCATAAATTTGTGTGGTAGCTTGTGTATATTTAGACACTGTTATGTGCACTTATGTACACATGTGCACTTATGTATACATGTGCACTTATGCACACATGTGCATCTATATTTGTATTCGCTTTTCCCCTCTATTTTCCTTTATTATTATTTCTGCACCCCACATTTTTTGACAATGGTTTTTCCAAAAATTTTATCCAAATGTTTTATCTTTTTATTTGTTCCTTCCGTTTTTCCTTTCATTTTATTTTTATTACTTTGTTTTACTTTCTTCCCCGACATTTTTTTTCTCGTCACATGTCTTGGACGAACAAGCTTAAGGACTGATCTACGCGAGACGTCTTCCCCCACCCTGCGTCCTATGACCCTTTTCCTCTATATTTACAATCTCACTCCCCCACCACCCCCACTGATAAGCATAAAATGGCCTAACGCGTTCACACAGTTTTAAAGTTTAAATCTATGTTCATTTTCATAAGAAGTTTCGAACAACGAGGAATCAGACAGAGATCGGGTTTTTGCTAATAATATGATCTCCGCCAGAATTCATACCGTCCACAAGAACAACTATCGGTGATTAATCCCCATTTCTCTGTTCATTTCTCGGTCCGTTGATGAAGGACACAGGCGTGTTCGAAAATTCCGGACTTTAAACCTTTATTTCCGTGCTTCATTTCTGTCATGTGGTTAATAATTAATTTTTAATAAAATGTTTTCGTGCTGATGATATTGGTACCCTTTCGTTTGTTCTTGTTTTATTAACTAACCTATCTATTTTATATATATATATATATATATATATGTGTGTGTGTGTGTGTGTGTGTGTGTGTGTGTGTGTGTGTGTGTGTGTGTGTGTGTGTGTGTGTATATAGATATAAATAAATATAAGTATGTATAATTATTTATATATTATATACATGATACTTATTAGAAAGCGCTCAATATCAGAGATAGAGCTAACATATTTGGTTGGATAGATGTGAGTTTGTGACACTGGTTTTCACGCTTTAGCGATTGTCTGACGATCGCTAAAGCGTGAAACCCAGGTCACAAACTCACATCTATCCAACAAAATATATATATATATATATATATATATATATATATATATATCAGATCCGTAAAGGAAAGGGAAAGGATAATCCAAGTGGTTCTTTTAAAAATATATATATATATATATATATATATATATACACAAAACACACACACACACACACACACACACACATATATATATATATATATATATATATATATAATTTATTATATATACATACATATATATATAATTTATTATATATATATATATATATATATATAGTTTATTAGTATATAAAGATTATAATAAAACATGTTGAAATCACTACACAAAAGCTTTCATGTTTCAATACTATGATTGTACTTCTTCAGGCGACGGTATGTAACTGATGGTTAAATGATTTTTAAGGAAATTTGAAACCAAAGTGCTACCTATTTTCCGAAAGTTAAAGTCGAGGGGACATAAGGTCAGAATTAAAAATAGACTTTTGGGCATGTCTTGAGTAACCAATTTAATGTCAGATCTACGCTAAATAGAAAAGTAAGCTCAAAGGGTGGAGGTGGGTGAGTTATTTTTTTCATACCATGATAAACCGGAACATAGACAGGCCATCATTGACGATTGCGGAATATATATATATATATATATATATATATATATATATATATATATATATATCTGAACAGATTGTGATAGATAGATATCTATCACAATCTGTTCATATCTATGTATCTGTTTATCTCAGTATTTTCATACCTCTCTTTCTCTCTATTTCTGTTCATATCTCTATCTATCTATCTATCTATCTATCTATCTATCTCGGTCTGTTGCTATCGAGAGACAGTTATTCAAATAATAGTCTTTCACAGATGAGCTTGATTCTCACTGAAGTTCAGTTGTACCAGACTACGCTAAAATCCATTAATATCTTCACTTAATGCATGATTCTTAGCAATCTAGACTTACAGACCATCGCCAGTGATTTGATACACGTTATATCCTATTATATTGGCCTTGTGCCAGGCTAAGCTCAGCAAAATATAATTACAAATAATTAAATTTAACGTAGGACGTTATCTATGATCCAATATGTTTTTGGAAATTGGATTATCTTTTTCCCCAGATTGGGGGGGGGGTAAGAGATTGGAGAGTCAGTATTTAAACTCCTGTGGCTAGTACCGATGGTGATGTTATATCTATCTCAACCGCAAGACAATCTTACTTCTAGCTGTTCCATTATAATGACCTTGTGCCAGACTAAGCTTAATAGACCATAAACTATTGATAAACTATTTAATAGACTTGATACTGGATTTAATCATCGGTGCACTATTATAATGTCCTTATTACGAAATATAAGGGATTATTGATATTGGATTTGATCCTAAGTCCTCCAGTATAATAGCCTTATGCCATACTATGTTTAATTGACCATTAATACTGGATTTACTCCTGTTTGTCATTTAACTTTATAAATAAGAATTGATAGAAGAAAAACTTGATTTGTCCGTCATATTCAACTCTTTAACGACACAGGGCCGTTGCGTACTTCTTCCGAACCCCCCGACTGACAGGGGGGGGGCAGATTGGTGGCCCCGAGCCCTACTTTGTGATCCTCACTATCTTATCAACATTTGCTCTTTTCTACCCACATTTATATACGTTACAAAATAAACGAACCCCAACTGACGATCAAATGCATAAATTTGTTTTGCTCATGCTAAGCCTAAAATAAAACATTATATAAAATTCACTATTTTTTATCCATAATGTTGAAAGTGTAAAAATTCTTCAACTTCTTAGCAAGAAAAATCTGAAGTTGATGTCAAAAATTGTCGCAAAACATTGTTGATTTATTTAAGATGGAATGATCTATTATGACAAGTCTCTAATTTGTATTTAGATACATTTTATACTAGCAGCATGGGCCGGCGTTGCCCGTGCTTGATTCAAAAAACTCATACAGCAATCGCTATCACTGAACTTAAAATATTTTTGTCCTTCCTTGCCTTTAAAGGAGTGCCATTTGCTGTGCTGGTGTTGTTACATGCCTTACTTCTTACCTATCTCACACTGCGAATTTTTTCTAAGCTCTATACTAAACATTAAATCTGTTACGAAAAAAGAACTAAACAAAATGAACACAAAACGATCAGCTTTAAAAAAAGAACTCGTAACTGGAAAAAACCGAATGAAAAAAGAATGTTAACAACAAATACTTTTTCACATCCAACCCAGTTCTGCGGAATCAGAATCAACGTTGAGTTTAAGCAAGCGAATGAGCCAATTGGAGTAAAGTGCCATGTCGATTTAAATTTTTCCCACTTGTGACGAATGCAGCTATCGATATATTTTGCATGCTTGCATGCTATTTAACATTCGTGTCAGTCAGCTGTTGGCTCTCACGCTGGCCAATAGAATCTTCCTGCCTATTCGTGGCAGCCAGCTATAGGCTCTCACTCTGGCCAGTACAAAATGACTGCAAACTACATGAAAACTGCCGTAGAAGCATAAAAAATCGATTATTTCCACTATCGATGGGAGTTGGGAAATGGAAAGTCGGTCTTGGCCTTCCCACTAACTTGGAGCTTGTGCATGTAAATTTTGGTGCAAATCCGTCGAAAATTGCGGCCGTGCATTCGTTACACACACACACACACAAATCACACACACACACACACACACACACACACACATCCTGCCTTTTATAGATAGAGATATTTTCAATTTTTCTAGTTGAATTGTTCAACTATATTGCATTTGATCCATTATTGTACATAATTAAGTTACAATAAAATTTGTATTTTATATGAATACTAACTTAAGAAACTCAAGATGTGTAGAATGTGGGGGTCCGTATCATAGATTTGGGGTATATCACAAGACACTTACACTGGCCTTGCACATGAATCTCAGAAGATGGGTATGATGTTAAAAATTGCTGTAAAATATTTAAGATGGTATGATCTTTTTTTTTAATTCATAATATTGAATGTGTTAAAAATTATTTAACTTTTTAGCAAGAAAAATCGCAAATTGATATTAAAAATTTCCGCAAAACATTTAAGATGGAATGATCTATTACGATATGTCTTTAATTTGTATTTAGATAGATTGAATTTATTTTCAATTTTTCTAGTTGAATTGTTCACCTATATTATATATGATCCATTAGTTTATATAATTAGGTTATAATAAAATTTGTATTTTATATAAATACTACCTTATAAAAATTGAGATGTAGTAGAGTGTGTGTGTGGGGGGCATGAGACCCTTATACGAGCCCTGTCCGTCCATTCATCGTTTAAAATCGTAAGAGGTGTAAGTTTCTCACTACTTGGTCGATGTCCTGAAACTGGAACCGAAGACAATTTAGTTCGTGAATTACCACACCCACAGTCGGTGACGGGGGGTGACAGGCGGCTGAATTTGTGAAACAAACTGACTAAAAGAATGTCCAACCAATATTTTGCCCCTCCCAACCAATTCCCGCCAAATAATGTCAATTCCATTGACAAAAAAGAAAAAAATTCTTTTACTTCGACGTGTCTCAATGGGACGAATTGTTGCTGGCATCGTGCCTGCTTCTAAGCGACGCCAAATGATGCTCACACCCTTCCTTCGATAGGCGTCGGTATATACGACATATGTACGTATTTACGCTTTTGGGTGACGGTGTGAGCATGAACGATGTGTGGGTGGGGCTACGGACGTTCAGTCATTCACTGGGTCACAAGAATAAGTGAAACACCAAGCGGGCCATAAGCTCTTGCGCAAAACTAACTTGGTAGCCTCTCCTAACGCCAAGTAAATACATATTTTAGTCTGGTAAAAGGCTGTAATAATGGGATACTCACTGAAGATTAGTCTCACTATATTCGCAAACAAATAGCTTCAAATAATTTCTTCCTGCGAACCACTGCCCTGTGGGACAGACTCCCAAGAGGATGCTTCCCCGATCACTACAATCTTAACTTGTTCAATTCAAGAGATAACTGTTATCTTCCCCTTTTATCCTCATAGACTGTCTCTTACTGGAACCCTTTACCAGGTGTAGTGACTACTACTACGTTTGCCACGCCTACAGTTTTCTCAACTGTGATTGGTTAAATAATAAATACTGTTTACCACAGGACAATTTACTAATCGCAGTCACCACACTGAATTTTTCTGCCGTGAATTTCACAAACATGCTTTTGTTAGAAAATCACCGATTGGTTAATTTTTCATCCAATCATATATTTTCTGTTTTCGTTCAATTCTCCCGCCTTTGTTCCTGGAGCCTAGCAATAGTTATAAAAGCAATGTTTTGTTCCAAAAATAGACAGTGAAATTCACCAGCCTACACGCGTCTACACAGATTATTGATTCTACTCACTACGCACACACAGACACAGAACTTGAATTACATTTCACCATTCGTTTTCTGTGAACAAGCCAAGTTACAAACCAACACTCTGTTAGTTATACAAATAACACGCAACTAAATTAACTGTATGTTTTTCTGAATGCAACATTCTATTTCAACACAGAACTTTGAACATTCTATTCAAGAAACATTCTTAATTACATTTTATCTTATTCAAGCTAACAGATAAAGGGAAACTACTTTCTTTTCCTTAATATTCACACATTACAAAATGGTTTTGCATTTGTTGATTTTAATATATATTTTTAGCGTTGAAACAAAAATCTTTTTCTCATTGTTTTTCCTTGATTCAATAATGTATAAATGTTAAATGCTCTTCAACACGCAGCCACATTAATCTCTTCAACATAGTACACAAGCAGCATTAACACACGTGTGGCCCTGGGCATTGTACAGGGTGAACATTACTGTAAAAAAAAAAAAAAAAAAGTTTAGGGTTTGATGCCCGGTGTTCGGACCTAGGTTATCACTTAGGATTACGAATGCTGATTTTCAAAGCAGACCTTATTTCACTTGGAACGCTGGCGCAATACTGTCTTTTTACCCACCATTTGGTCTTACGCTGTACTTGTGATTAAAAAAAAACATCGCTCTAATAAAAAGGTCTACGATTATATGTACCAGACATAGCTTAGTATGGCATAAGAGCATTAAAATGGAGAACCCAAAATCAAAATGAAACGTCTACTACCTTAACACGATTACTGAAGTTAAGCAACGTCGAGTCTGGTCAGTACCTAGATGGGTGACCGCTTGGGACTATCAGGTATTGTAAGCTTGGATGAGCGGGTGGTGTAATGGATAATGGCTCGGAATTGTTCAGCCGAGTTCCATTTAAAAGTTCGGTTCGTTATATTCACTTGCATGCAAATAACCTTAGGAAAGATATGTCTCCACCTCTCCTCCCCCAGTTACGGGTTAATTAGTAAAACTTGTATCATTAAATCATTATCATCTCCCCACCCCCAAATTCCTGCAATCTAAAAATATTTTCTGGTTTTAAATAAGCTGCAAAAGTTTGATAAGCCGTAGAAAACAAATCAATTGCCTTAGTCTGGTATAAAATCATTACAATGGAGTACCTAGAATCAAAACCAGTATTAATGAACTTAGTCTGGTAAAAGCCATTAAAATGCAGCACCGAGAATCAAATCCAGTTTCAACGTTCTATTAAACTTTGTCTGGCATAAGGCCAATAGAATCCAGTATCCAGTATCAATGGTCTGTGCAATTAGCTCTATTCTATATACATATCTATTAAACTTAAATTCAGACATAAGGCCATTATAAGCGAGCACCTTAATTAGATTTTACCAAACAGATGTGTGTGGATGGTTTATGCCTATCGGCTCAGAATGAGAAGTCAGGGAGCCGAGTTCGAATTCCAGCTGAG